GGGTAGGACCCGGTAGTGCAGCGTGTAATACTAGTAGGACAAGTAGAAGGGAATCTATTAAAATCGGGATGTCTCCGGCCAGACAATAATACTATTGCCACCCCTTTATTATTGCGATTTGGACTTGTCTATATATTTTCGGGCTCCGAACTTACTAGAAAGCAAATTTGATTGTCCGGGATTTTCCCCGGCCGGCAACAAAACGCTGTTCACTCCTTTTACTAATGCTACCTAACGTCAGAACATCACACTTCCTCACGCGGTCTTGGTCATCGTCTGTTTGTTGCAGATCAACAAACATTCAAGTTCACAAAGTGATTTCCGGTGTTACCAGCTCAGTGAGTAATCCTCTCAAACACCCTAAGCCTCTTAAGCCTTGTATTCTTCGTCTGATAAGAGGATACTTTTGGTTCATTTCCTAGATTTTCCTTCCCATCTCACTATATCCTTATGTTAATTACATATCCCGACATATGAAACTTGATAAGGACAGCAGCCGCGTGAAGGGGGAGTTAGTCAACGTGGCGACTCTTCGTGCCACACGTCGGGCTTTCGCCGCTTTGAGGCAGCTCTAAACGTTAAAACTCTAAAAGCCTAAACCTTAAATCCCTAAACCCTAAATCCCCAAACCCTAAAATCTTAAACCCCAAATCCCTAAGCCTTAACCCTAAATCCCTAAATCCGAAACCTCTCTTCCTGAAACTTTCATGTTAGTATCGGGCTTAGGGTTCAGGATCCTTAGATTAGGATTTCGTGTTCAAGCGTCTGGGCCTGCACATGGGTAGTTCCCAAAAAAGGGTTATATAAGGGTTCTATGGGGATTGTATAGGGCTATATAGGGTTATATGGGGTTTCTTTAGGGATGATGGAAAAGAAAATGGAAGCTACTATTGAGGGTTTGGGGTTTAGGGTTTAAGGTAGTTTCCCCCAAAAAAGGGTCCCATTTTGGTACCCCTGAATATGAGGTGCCGTAACATAATCTATAATCAAAAGGGGCCCATATTTTCGAGAGCAACCCACATGCATGATTTAGGCTTTGTTGCAACCTAACCCTAAACCCTAAACCTTTTGATGTACTATCTTTTTTTTCCTTTGTGGTGCGCGCGGCAGAGTTTGCAACGTCAGCGAAGATGTTGGAGGTTTGGAGTGCAGGCTGTGGGTGTGGTGCTGGCTGCTAGTAGGGAATAAAGAATTTGAAAAGAAATGGGGGATTTTTCAAAGGGTACCTTTTTGGGGGTCCCCATAAAAAGGGTTATAGTATTTTAGGGTCTATATTGGGTTCCCCCGTATTTCGGAATATCAAATCAAGGCTACTGTTTGCAGTGTAGCGGCAGGGGAACGGAACAAAAATGGAAACTGCAATATAAAGGGCTGAGAAATCGCGTTGTTGCGCTCAGCGCCGAAGCTCCAAAATTGCAAACGCTAGTTTTGGAACCCTCATGCAAAATTTGATATTCCCAAACCATAAGTGAATAAAGCAACCCCCTACCCAAAACTCTAAACCCTAAACCCCAAATCCTGGATCCTCTGGCGCTTCCGGGTTGTAGGCGCAACGGCTCAGTTGTGACCTGGGGAACCATCAGCGTCGCTCAGCTGGGCAAGTTGCAGATGCGCAGGGTCTTTGTTTTTGGTGTAAATGCAACAAATACAACAAACATATTCTTGAGTTTAGGGTTTTGGATTTAGGTACTAGTGATCGAAAAACTTGAGGACAGTAATCGCAACAATAATGTATGAAGGGGCCTGGGGTCTAGGTGTAATCCAGAACCAAATGGAATAGAATTGAACAGAACGAGGAAATTTGAATGCAAACTGGGATGACAATAGGGAAGCAAGCTCCAGTGTTGGGGTATGTTTCTTACCGCAATCCTTAAAAGTAAGCTGATAGCTTTGCCGCGTAGGCTTACATCTGCCATTCCTGGCAAATGATAGTACTTGGAGGATCTTTTAACTTAGTGCTGATAGGGGGTACTGGGGATAGTAGGTAGACTTAGTGAGTCAACAGATCGTCCTAAACCCTAAACCCTTAATCC